AAATGGTGAATACAGTAAAAATAATACAACATCTTCCCTGTATCACACAAAACATTAAGCTAAAGACTGCAGCTACTGATTTTTTAGCTAAAATGACAGGTGACAATATTTTTCGAGCAAGCAATGCAGTCAGCGGTATATCAATGGTTGGAGCATCTTTAAATTTGTGCCTGAATACTGAAAACATGCATCTTCTGGAACAGTTTAATGGGAAAAAGTTAAATAACAATGTTGTCAAAGCTTTTAACAGAGCTCAAATAGGAAAGACTATATACACTTCTAAAAAGTATGCAAAAGCGAAACGAAGAAACAATAGTACAGTGCTATTTCATGATGGGAGGCAGATCAAATATGGGCAAATTGAAATATTGTTCTCATACAAAGAAACCAATGAATGTGAAAATGAGAAGCATCTTGCATTTGTAAATGAATTTGCAGTAACGGGCATAAACCTTCTACAGGACATTCACACTGGTGGGACATGTTTTCATGTTGTCAGTTTATTGGAGATGCCTGTAAAGAAAACTGTTGTTGCACTTGAATATATTTTGGGCAAGTTAATATTTATTGATTTGTCATCAATGCCCGGTATTGTGTTTGCAGTGCATTTTCCTAATAAACTTGAAAGAGATCTTTAAGTTACATATTTTTACTTGTCTTTCTTAAGTGTAATTTCTATTTTTCATTATAAAGGTATTTATCCATATTCATATTGATAACAAAGAGTAAATGAGATAAAACTAGCCTGAAAAGAGACTAGTTTAAGTTTACAAGGAAGTATCCCCATTAGACAAAGGTGAGAAATAAATGTGGAGWCAAATTTGAGAAACTTTTTAGAGAAAAGTGAGATTTCTATTAAGACTTCACAGGAGTCTAATTTGAGATTCTTTTCCTTATTGCTCAGGAGAAACAAATGAGAAAAAGGAGAAATTAGCGATAGACTCCTGTTTATCTTACACAAAGCTCAGAATTGTCTAGGAGATTGAAATGAAATGTTTGTGAGATCTCTTTTAGGAATATCTTTTCCTCTGGGATGTCTGTTCTGCTGCCCTGCTACTAGCATACTAGCATAAACACAAACGTGATGTCTGAATAATCTTAAAGAAAAGCAGTTCCCTAAAATGCCAAAAGATGACAGCACTGTTCCATGTAAAACAAGAAAATCACAGTTCAAATGCCAGAAGGGAAGGATACTCTGATAAAGCTTCACTTCAGGTTAGCAGAAAATAAACATTTCTGCTGCTGGGAAAGAGCAAAATGTCTTAACATTAAATGTGAATTCTCCCAAACAGTCAGAATTTATAAAAAAATCATCTCACACAAACTCTTCCATCTCAGTTTCACTTGACACAAAGGTATTTGAGCAGTTGTAATATTTCATTCCTGCACCCTGCTCCCCGTCTAGTTGTCTGGGAGCTACTGTCGTCTTTGTCCATGTCTCCAATCCTGAGATGTGCTCTTCATGGAGCCCAGGGAGGGGAAGAAGAACAACAAAGCCAAGAGAGCTCCAAGCTACAGCCCTCTCTCTGGACACCTCCCGAACCTCAGGTCACCAAGTCTCAGACAGCCTCCTACTCAGGGTAATTGCCATCAGACTGAGGAAGAGAAGGAGGTAATTTGCCCAGTGTCTTGTGTAATCAACATTTACAGAATAGCTGGAAGGAGGCATGAGTATTTCTTGTGTGTTATGCTTTCATATTCAGATGCAGCTTATGTGAGTGGCATTTTGCGTGTGCATGTGATATCACTAAGAGTGGGTACAGTTTTGGGGTTTTTGCCTGTAAATGAAACTCCTCCTCTTGGGGCCAATATGCTTACTTCTGATAAAATTTGAAGGGAATGAAAACACCCAAAATGGATTAAATTTTTTAACAAGATAGAACTCAAACACCAACCATCACTGATGTCCTCCATCATGGATGAACAGACAGACAGAGAACATTTGTAAGTCTTGGGCAAAGTGGGACAATAATTTTTTATTTATTTACAGTAGTTATAAATCTTTTATCAAAATATTTATTGTTTAACATAAATCTAAGCAGCATAAAATATGGCTAAATATTAGGCCTATATTTTGGATGTAACCTGTTCAGATAAGAGAGAACACAAGAAGGTGTTCAGCTAAAGAGCTAGAAAATCAGTTGTAGACTGCTAGAAAATCAGTTGTAGACTGCAGCTTTTACAAAATATGAGATTATTAATCTCATATTTTTATCTCATCTCATTAATCCAGGTAGAAAAAAAATCAAAAAGAAAAAATAAATAGGTCCTCTGGATGGGTTCTTCTTTAGTGAAACGTTTCATCTCTCCTCCAAGAGACTTCTTCAGTCTGATGGGTTTCAGTTGAAACTCAGCCTTATAAGCCCTGCCTCCACCTGGACAAACAGGTTAGTCACATGCAAAATAGGGCCATTGACTAACAATAGGCTTGATTGGCTCTGTTGTTCATAGAGGGTCATGTGCCCCATCACCTGACCATGTTATCATGTTCTGTGAATGTAGGGAATGCAAGTGGGGGTGTTTAACATCCCCTTGTTTTTGTCCCTCTTTCTCTCTTTGTGTTGGTACCATTGGGGCCCTGATTCACACCTTTTGCTTACAGGGGGCTGAGTCATACTTGCAATTACTGCATTGTAGGCGGAAGACAAATGGACGCGCAGGCCTCCACCTCTGTTTAATGGTGGACATTTTTTCTTCACAAAGATGGCTTCCTTTACTCCTCTCTCAAACCAGCGTTCCTCTCTATCAAGGATGAGAATAGGTATCCCAAACACCAGTCAGATTCTGGCAGAAAAAAGTGCAGTCTTGGAAAAAACACAAAAGTTCACCAGGTTTAGCTAGATCCTATAAAAAAAACTATTCTATGTATATCTAGGCTGTAAAAACAGAAATGAAGTTTAGAGTTTCATCTTTATACAGATTTTTGAATTACTTTAATATGTTGAGAAATGCACCCTCAGCAACAAAATAAAAACAGTGAGTAAATCGGTTTGTTTGCTAGCTTTGTAGAATTTATCTGATTTTCAGCGCTGCTCTCCAGCATGAAAAAAACTCACTGATTTTTGCAACTGTGCCGTCTGAGAGAGGTGCGTTCAATAAAAATGTATTTTATAGAAATGAATAGAGGAGATTCTAAGCTTTCTGTACATATAAAACACTTTGTATATATGNTGTCGTGTCTGCTACTAGCTAAAACAAAATGGCGCTACACCTTTGGCTAAGCTGGCAGTATGGTCGCTCAGCTGTCGACCAGTCGACGTGCAGTCACGTGATTGTTCGGGGTTTGTTTTCGCACTTAACTTTCATAGTTCCCCCAAGAAACCCAGAGCCCAGCTGCTGGGAAAGCCTTCCTGCTCCAGCATAAGTCACTGCATGGGATTCCTTCCCCGGGGAGTGCAATGCCGAAAAAAAATGTCAGCGGCTCTTCACTCGACATTTATCCACAAACTGGTCCCGGATTAAGCTCCAAAGTTTTTATCAGTCAGATTCCACCATGAAAAATGTCTGTTTTATCTCCTTTTATGAGTTTTTGGCCATTGACTCTCTTTAAATCACTGCTTCCTGGTCAACAGTCGGCTCTGGAAGCGATAGATTTTTTTCTTTTTTTTTCTTCTTTTTTTGAAGCGAGTGGCTGAAGCAAATGGAGCATAAGAGCCCCCTGGTGGCTGAAGAAAAAAATCCACGTATAAGCCGCACCGGACTATAGGCCGCATGGTTCAAAGTTCAGGAAAAAAGTCGTGGCTTATAGTCCGAAAAATACGGTACATTACACAATGCTAATCTGCAGCTACGGTGTTATGTTATCTTGATAGCTATTTATAACTTATCGACAAAGTGTAACATAATTTACATGTAATGTTATGACAAAAGGAGCACTTGTGTAGATAAAGTATGGGCAAGACATGATAGTTAAAAATATATTGTTGATGGTTTGTTCTTACCTGTGACCAGGCATGAAAATAAGCTGGTACCGTCCGGTACTGCATACCACTAAAAGATTCTGCACCGGTATGCAGTACCGAGAAGCGTGGGGAGCAGCTGTCAACTATAAAGCTGTCATTCAGAACCAGATCACAGCTGCACTTTCTGTCAGAATAAACCTGTTAGCAGGAGGCAGTATAAAACACAATTAATCTGTTTATAATAGTTTTTCTCATCCCAAATTTTTCCTGAACTGTCCCTGCCAGCTCCTCTTCCCTCGGAGCTCAAGGCTTTCATGAACCACCGATTCATAATGGCAAAATTAATTTGCCTCACAAAATAGTTCCTCCTGATAAGCTCAGATCATGACAGTTTTTTTTACCGTCAGTCATAATGATGGACAGCAAAAAAAGTCAAGCACAATCTCTGTCCGCTCCACCAATATTTATGCTCATGAGCTGCTATTGTAAACGACCGACCGTCAAAACTTTCACTGCTTTCTTCAGAGGTGGATTAGCCTACCGAGGATTTCCCGGCATGCCAATATGTTCTTTACCGCATAGCAGTCAGCTGATCTGCTCGCGGGG